CGCTCGGCTGTGCGAGAGCTTGGGGCTGTGGGCTGAGGAGCAGGGTGGTCTCTGCGTCGGGGGAAAACCCCTTGAGCCTTGCGGGTGCTGTGGAAGAGGGTGTTCGGCAAGACCACCTTCCAGACGGGGAGAAAGCACCGGGCGTTTCTGCCTTTCCCCGGCGGAGGGGGTTTGGGTTGTTCCAGGCCGCTTGCGTTCGTGGGTGCTTTTTTTGCCCGAAGTGTGCGTTTTGTTACTTTGGGTCGTACAGACGTGATGATGATCGTCCCCGAGTTCGGCGTGCGATTTCAGAAAGTTGACTTCTCTTGTCAGGTTGAGATCTTGTGGTGGTTTTGCCCCGGGACAGATACGCAACCAGAATAGGGACGCGTTCCTTCGGTGCGCCACGGAAGCAGCTCCTCAGCGCAGCAGCAAGTGCCTCGTGGTGCACAGGACCTGGGTGTTCCCCTACAGAGCCACAGATCAGAGATTTTTTTCAGTGTTTTTGAAGCTGGTAGGGGAAATTATCTGTTTCTGAACACTAATGTAAGGCAAAATGATCAGTGTGCGGTCTTGATTGAGGAGAAGGTGAACCAGCTGCCCTTGTCTTTCACTGTTTTTTCCTTTTTGCCAAGAGGGAGAGAAGAAAAAAAAAATGAGAGTGCTTGTGTTTCGTTCTGACAGCTGTCTTGAATTTTGTAAAGTGAGTTTGGATCGGATGTCTGAGTGTGCGGATTGCTGATGGTGTGAGATACCTTGCCACATGCCAGACCAGTAGTGAGAGTGCGAGAAAGAATCTGCGTGACTGAAAAGTGAAAACTTTGCTTGAATGAAGAAAACGTTACTTAGTGGCCTTTAAGTACACGAGAGATTATTAGTTTAGGTGTCATTTTTAACTGTAAGAAATCTCAAACAAGTTTGCAGTGCCGAATGATCCATTTGTAGCCTAAGGCAATGTGTGTTTACTTAAGAGCCCTACTCAAAAGTTGAGGCCAAGGAAACTAGTAAAATACCTAGTTAAAGCCTGGAGAGCTTGACTACTTAGTTTGTATTTTGAACTTTGGCTTTAATGCAACTTTATGAAGATTTTTGTCATCTCTTTCCTGTACTTGGAGGATTTTAAGAGCCTGGCATGATGTCTCTCCTTAAAGATAGCGCTGTCAGTGTGCTGTATAGTGCTGTGTAACAAAATCAGATGTAGAAATCAAAAATAAACAACTTTTTAATCCGCATTAAAGTTTTTATCCCCATATTCCTAAAGAAGGCTGGGGCCAGAATTTAGCTGAAGTGCTTGATCTTCTGATCCGTTTTATGTAAAAGTAAACAAACCACATCTTAGGAGACTATTGTCTTAAGAACAAAAAAATGGAAATACTGTCATGTGGGATATCATGTCGTGTCATGGTTGTCTCTGAGCTTAGGACCTGTCGACGCAGTATGGTTAATGGTGTGGGGGGATCACTACACGGATAAACACAAGTGAGGGGTAAAGGGAAAACCTTTCTCCCTCTGAGGACAGACAGGCACTGAAGCCATTGCCCAGCCAGGCTGTGGGGGCTCCGTCTTTGGAGGTTCCAGAACCTGCCCGGAGAAATCCCTGAGCAGCCTGGTCTGCCCCTGCTCAAGGCAGGGGCTTGGACTGGAGACCTCCTGAGGGCCCTTCCCTCCTGCGTGGGTGCAGCACTGTGGTTAGAAGTGCAAGGCTTTTCTGGTTTTAAAGGCATTTTGATACCTGCGTTTTCCTGTCTTCTTCCCCTCAGCCTGCTTACAGTAATCTTAGTCTCTCTCTTTTGGCTGTCTCCATTCCTTGCTGGTCGTCTTCCTGTCCTTTGCGTTTCTTGGTCCTCCAACCTGCTCTTTTGCCCTGTTTGCCAGCTAACATCTCCCTCCAGCTGCTCCCCCAGCTAGCTTCTAGTCTGGCTTTCTTTGCTTCGCCGGCCCCCATTTCCCCAGCCCTGGTTCTCTGCCTCTTGCTCGGCTGCCAGCCCTTCCTTTCTCCCTTCCTCCCTCCGCTCGTTTTTTCCTACGCTTCCGCCTCCAGCTCGGTGCCTGGCCCTTGGCCATGCTCCAGTCCTGATGGATGGCTTCCTCGTCCGCCCTGCTTGGACCAGCACGGACGTGGTTCTTCTCCCCTGCCAGGGACACGGCTCTTCGCTCTCCGTTTCGTGTTGCGCGCCTCCTGACTCCAGCTGCTTGCAGTCTTTGTTCACCCCCAGGAGTTTGTAAGGTGGCTGAATTTGGGTGGACGTTCCTGCTAGCAAGAAGGCATGCCTGCAGCAGAGGCTTGCGAGTGGAACGGTGCTCTATGTGCTTGGGGATGTTTAAGTAGGAGGAGGCTTTTTTTTTCGCCCTCTATTTCCTGGAAACTTTCAGTAAGGTGACCTTGGTGTTTTGAAACAAGTTAGTGGGATGCAGGGAGTCAGGAAAAACGTGTCCTGAGTTGTTAACGTGGTAAAGTGCGAGATGCCAACACCTGGAATAGGTGAGCTTCAGTAATGAATGAAGGGTGGCTGTGGACCTTAATTTATAGCTTCATGGAGCAGCTGGGTGTTGTTTTGTGCTGGACTCTGTGTTTTCAGTGTTACGTTCTGTGTAGAATAATTAAAAGCGGTAAGTTGCAGTTCGGTGCTTTGTGGATAGCAGGGGCTGAAGTGTACTGCTACTCGCGGAACTAGGAGGAGGAATGGTTTTGCCAGCAAAGCAGTGAAAATCTAGTGTATGGTGATGGAGTTTGGAGACTGAAAGTTAGTTACCGTGTACTTGAATGTTTCAATAATTATTTTTGTTCCTCTTCTTACTTTAGAATCTTCTCCCCATTTACCAGCACCAAAGGATGTGATGGTTTATTCCTATAACTTTCGTAGTTTGCTGAGGTGGTCTCCTGTTAAAGTGGATGGAGGCTTGGTGTTATATACAGTCTGTTTTAAAACGTAAGTAAATAGTTCTAAAAACAACCAAACTGCTTTTGTTCCAATCCAGTAATACAATTTCTTTAAAAAAAAAAAAAAAAAAAAAAGCATAGAAATATAAAAGGGTGGTTTTTCTGTTACAGATGCTTTTATGGATATCTGAGAGCAGCTTCTGAAGACTGCCAGTCTCTTAGCCTGTGATACATCCACTAAACCAAGAAAAGATTGAAGGCCTGAGGAGCACCCAGAGGTGTTACGTAGTTTCCTGTATAATTTTAGCATTACCAAATCCTCCCGTGTTAATTTAAATTTTTCCCGGATACTGAGGAGATGCAGGTGCTGAAAGGGCTGTGGAATAAACCCACGTCCAAGTGGTAGTTTTGTGACATCTTTTTTTGTTACAAAAATTGTCAAGGTGGTGAGGGACCGCGTTTCAGGTAGTTGCGCTGCTGTGCTGGTGCTTTATTTGTCCTTTGTTTTGCATTGCAGAGGCGCCTTTAACCAGTGGGATGAGCTGAACTGCACCCGCATCGCCCAGACCGAGTGCAGCTTTCCCTGGTCGCTGAAGGAGCGGCGCTGGACTGTTGTTCTGCGCGTCAGGGCTGAGCTGGGGCAAGTGACTTCTGACTGGGTGGAGACAGATCCATTTGTGGCAGAGAGAAACAGTAAGTGATGCTTATGATTTCAGTCTCTCCCTCTTACAGGAGATTTCTTTAAAAAAAAAAATGTTTGTTGTCTGTTCTAGGCTTTTTTGATGCTAGCATTTACAAAAGCCAAGTGCGAGAATTGTAGGTGTTCGGTTGACAAAGACTGCAAGGCCTCAGTGTGCCCCTAGGAATCTGATGCTGCTTAGTTCCTCTGTAGTGGGGTTATCAGTGTGTTCTTTCAACAGGTATCGAAAGAGAAACAGAGGAGATTTCTTGGATGGTTAAGCCTTATAAGCACTACAACGTGTATTTTGTTAGAGAGTTTTCCGTTTTTTCTATTTCCCCACTTAGCACTGCCACATGCAGGCACACACCCCCTTGATTTGTGTAGGCTGAGTAGAAACTACCTGTTTCTATTGAACAGATCCCTTGTCTAATAAATATAAAGTCCTGACTACAGTGTAGAAGGGTTAAGCGCACATGTTAAATCCTGTTAAATTCATGAGCAAGCATATTGTTCTTTATAAAATATGCTCTTTGTCTTGCTGTGCTTGGCTTCAGGATTAGAAGGAAGTAAATACTGAGTTTAAAAATACCTCTGAAATGATAATGAAGCAGATGAATGTGTTAATAACTCTTCAGTTCAAGTTCTCCCATGCCTGGTGAGGAGCGGTGGTGGCCCTTGCTGCAAAGAGTATGGTACTTTCCCTGGTGACTTCAGTTCTAAATCTTGGATTTTCTCAAGTAGTAAAGAGTGTGGGGATGAGGAATTGCCTGAATCCCGAGTTGAAGATTACAGCTGACATATCCCTGGCTTGTGGTGCAGAGTTGTTTGGGAGTGGGATCCCTTGGGGGTTAGGAAAGCACTGGGCTAATAGGAACACAAGACAAAGGAGAGGCTTGGTGTGGAAGGGGTGTTTGCGTATCTGTTACTTGGGGGAAAAAGAAGAACATTGTGTGATCGTTCTTGTGTGACCGCCCTCAAGATCAGTTTCTAGACACCAAGACCATGGGCTACTCAGTCAGGCTCTTCTCTTCCTGTAATGTTTGGGTCAATCCCACCGGACAGGGGAGCTTTGGGATTTTGTGAGGACACACAACAAAGTGTTTGCAGTTTTGCAGCAACAGGAAGTAGAAAGAAACTGAAATTCTTCTACCAGTATAAAGATCATGGGGGCTGATTTTCTCTGAAGTAAGAGTGGGCAGAGCAGGTTCTGCTGCGTTTTTTGGGGTACAATAAGCAATGATTCCATGCCAGGATTGCTTTTTACTGTTTATAGTTACCTGTCTTTAGTATGCCAGCAGCTGTAATATTTGCATGAGTGGGGTTTTTTGAGATCCTGGAGTACTTTACAAATGCTGATAAGCTTAACTGGTGAAAGAAGTCAAGATACGCAGGATAAATGACTAATGACCATATATGACCTGTGATCACACAAGCCTCATGTGTTAAGACTGACAGTACTTTATATAATATTTGTGATTTAGATCTTGGAGTACTTCACAAAAGGAAGTCGTCGTCTTTACCCTATGGGACAGGTGGAGACATCAGAGCAAGGAGGGGGAAACAAGTTCCTCTTCCCATCTGTTGACCCAAACGGTGTGGTTTTTAGAGAACATGGAGTATGTGGCAGGCTAGATGAAGGAAAAAAAAAAATTGTATCACCAGTAACTGCAGATGAATTCAGATACATTCAAATGAATATTTACTGAATTTCCACAGAAAGTTAACAGGAAACTTTTTTTTTAATCATGTAATTCACTTATACTTTCACGTCTCTTTCCTTAGATTTGTAATGAAGTAGGTAACCTCAATGCATTAAGTAGACGAGAAAATGTTGTATTCCCTTTCTTGAGAAAAAGCTGTTGATATTTAGCATGTTTGCTGAGAGTATCTAAGTAAACCTGGAGACAGTATGATAAGCTGTTCTGCATCCCAGAGGTTCACTGCTCTTTCTGTGTCTATTTGCAGCTACTATAGGGCCCCCTGAAGTGAACAGCGTGATTGTAAGCTCCGACTCACTTCTCATTGGTGTCACACCCCCTTTTGCATCTGAAGCAGGTGACTCTCTCCAGTATCGTGTGTCCTACTGGGAGAACGCAACAAGTACTGCTAAAAAAGTAAGAATTCTCTCCAGTTTGTTTTGTTGACAGTGCCTTTGTGACTATGAGATATGAGGCAGTGTCTCTTGGCAAAACAGCAGAAATGGAGGAAGAAAACTGTCGTTTTTTCCTCTAATTGTGAAAGTCACCATTTGAAAAAAAAGTTAATTTGGTCTTGACACAGGTGTTGCAGTATTATGAAACTTTCAAAACCATCTTTTTTTCCTCCTTAGGAAATGAAGGTTAAATCACATTGCGGGTCGAGGGAGAGAATCCGCAAAGTGTCAAGGGTGGCTTTAAAAAGGCATTTAGATTCCAAAGTTTGCTTAGGCGATTTGGAGGACTCTGAAATATTCTTCCTCCTTTCCTGTGCTGGGCTGGTTTGTGCTGGCAGCTTCAGTAACAGGCTGCTTGGGCCTGATGTCGCCTGTTCCTAGGGCAGAGAAAGGCAGAGTTATTAGAAACAGGCATGAGGTGTCCCTGTTCATGCTGAGGCTGAGAGGTGTTGGTCTCGTCCTGTGCTAACGCTGCTGTCTGGGGCCCAGCGAGCTGCGTTCTTGACAGGCCAGCGTTGCAGGGGAAGGATGAAGTTACACTTCAAAAAAAAAAAAAAAAAGGAAGAAGCTTCAAAAGAAAATAACCTCATTGTAAAGTCAAATGTTTTAAAAAACAGAAGCAGAAAAAAAATTGATTTGTTTTAAAATCCTTTGGTTTCAAAGACCTTGCTAAATCTGAAACACCTCCACTTCCTTCCTCTCTTGCACCAGTGTGTATTTTTTCTGACACGCATAAAATACCTTCATGATTGAGATTCGGAGGAGAAGTCACTCTTGTATGCTGCTGCAGGCTTCACCGCTGCTGGTATCCAAGCCCCTTATGGGTTAAAAATTCCCAAAAGACTGTGGAGGTTTTGCACTGCCCATCGGCTGCTCTCCTCTGCAGCAGAAGGAGCTGAGGTGGTGGTGGAAGCCCCTCACTGAACGATGCTTCCACCCATTTTTCCCTTCCCCTTCCTATATTGCGCTCCCTGCCTGAGCTGTTACAGCAGCTGCATCAAAGCGTCCAGCAGCGTATCGTGGGTAAAATGAGACCTTGCCTCAGTTTCCATGCCTCTGCTGTTTGTGCCCTTATAGATGGTTTTAAATGGTCAGGCTTAATTTTGTTTAAAAATAATGAAATTTCAAATGCATTCAGGTGGGACAGTGGGAATATGTTTTGCTGCTTCTCTTGTTTGGGAAAGCTGAATTATGAAAAATAAAAATGCTTTTTGAATTATAAACTTAAATATGGGGAGGGGATTTGTGTTGAAGACAGGTCTGGTTTTTACAGTAACACTTTTTTTTTTTTAAGCAGGAGACAAAGACGAGCAATACACTATTCAAAATCAGAAATCTAAAGGAATTGACACTTTACTGTTTTAGTATTCAAGTAGAATTGATGACATATTCACATCTCCAGTTACTTGGACTGCAGAGTGTCCCAGAGTGTTACAGAACTGCAATCAGTGGTATAAACCAAATTTTGTTATTTCTTTGTATATAGTGGGGTGGGTGTAGAAGATGAGTCTTAGTTTGTGTAACTGACCACTTACCCGTATTTGTCAGGGGTGCTAAGAGAGCACCACTGATGGTAGTTCACAGTTGTCATTAATGGCAAAATAATAAGGAATTTTTTAGTGAGTAATTGAGGGTCTGCGTTGTACTCTTCCCCTTGTCCTTTTCCTTCATAAACACTGCTGTGGGTATTGCTTTCTAGAAATATGCAAAGAAAGAATATACAAATACTGGGTCTTCAGAGGCAGTCACTGATGAAGGAGACAGTGTTGCTCTTGCAAATCCTCTCCCTCCGCCACTGCCTCTTGCAGGACAGGAATGTCCCTCTCCTCTTTGCCTGGCTTCCGCCTCTGACAGTTTGAGCTCCGTGTTTTTTCACGAGATAAGAGAGGGGGAGGGGAGGAGAGGGCACGTGCCAGATAACGGGTTTGTCCCTCTCTTGAGTCCCTCCCTGTGACTGCCAGCACGCAGGCACCGCTGAGCTGTAGCGTGCGTTGAACACGCTGGGAGGCGTGCGGGTGAAGTGAAGCCTGCTTGCGCGGTTCCTGACGCCCCGCCGGAGCTGACCTCCCGGGCCGCGTTGACCAAGCGCTTGGTCACCAGCCCCCGAGCTGTGGTGCTCCTTTGGGAAGAGAAGCCCCTGGCTCTTGCTGACAGCCCGAGGGTGGAAGGACAGACTGCGTTCCCCACTTGCCTGCCAGTAGCGGTTCCTGCAGTTCTGCCTTTGCCCTGCAGAAGCTCGCCTTGGGCCGTGTGATTAAGGGGAAGAAGCTTGTGGGGGCTGGTGACTTCCACATGGAATCAAAAAACAAGCTACTTCTGAACACGGGTGTTTAGAGCGCATCTCTAGTAGGGTTGTGGTCTTAGCCTTGGAAATTATATTTTGATTGCCAAGTATGGTAAACTTCAGCTTGCTGTGTATTGTTTTACATTTGCTAATGTATAAATATGAACCTACCATATGTATATTGTGGGTTTTTTTTCTTTTTCAGAGGCAACCAGAGCTGGATATATTATACTAATATTTGTGTTGGTCTTACTTTTTGTAAATCTGGTAACAGTTGGTTTGTTTCTTCTGTGGAGACACCACAAAACACTTAAATATTGGTCTCAGCCACCTTTAGGAATCCCATTACACTTTGAAGAGGTATGTGTAGACATTTGATATTTCTCTCCCCTACTTCCCACCCCTTGTGAAAGACAGTGGCGATCTTGGAGTGAATACGAACAAAGCTAGTTGTTGCGTAATGGAAATAGATATAAATAATTGTTGACTTAGTGTAAACTGTTACTGTTCTCATATATGATCTCCCACTTCATTCCTCTTACACTCAACTGAATTAGTTTTTTCTGTGCACTAAGGTACAAACGCTGCTACCATCCTATGAAACCGGAGCAAGATTCTCTGTTCCTTGACTACCCCCTTGCCCACCCCTTTCTTTGCTTAGTTCAGTTGTCAGGCCCAGAGCGGTTGTTCATGTGAAGCGAAAAGCTTGTGTGTGCTGCAGAAGGTGTGCTTGGGACCTAGATGTCTGAGTCGAAATCAGAAGTGGAGAAGCGAACACTGATCGTTTTAAGAGCAAGTACTGGCTTGAAAACCAAGGACTGCCTAGGGGAATGTTCCTGGGCTTTTTCTTTTTGTCCTGTAGTTTTAGCAGTACTGGGATGAGTCATCCTTGGACTTTTTTCTCCTTGCAGCTCACACATTTCTGTACTAAGCGATATTGTTTTAGTCCTGTTGTTCTTCCTCTTTTTAGTATTCAAACAGGAAGTAGTCTTTAAGCAAAGTTCTTGATTTAAAAGTTCTTGTTCAGCATAAATTCTGTGTTTTTAAAAGCTTATGTTTGTTTGCAGCTCTTTGAGGTGTATTTCTTTGTGTATATCAGAGTAGTCCACCGTACTCTGGTAGTTCTGCGATTGTGGAGCTGTTTTTCCAGATTTTTATAGAAGTATGGGTGAATGAACCCAGACTTTCTGCAGAGTCCTGAGTAAATAATTTTCTCTGTACATGCTACCTCAGCTACCATTTAATGGGGGCTCAGTGGAGACAGCTGTATCGCGTATCAGGCAAAGTGTATCTCACGTAGGAATAAAGATCCTTGTACAGGGTACTAAATTTGTGCAGCATTTCAGGCAAAGGACTTGCAAGAATAGAGTCTATTGTCATGTGTTCCAGAGTAATTGTATTAATCTGTAAAACATGCAGCAAAGGTAGACACTTGAACAACGATGAGCCTGGTTTTGGGCAAAATGCTGATAAGAAATGAAGGAAGATCAGTAAATATGCAGAATTCTTAAACTGTGTATTTCTGAAAGGCATCAAGCGGCCTGGGGCTTCTCTTAAAACACGTGAGTACAGAATACCGATCACTTTAAGGCAGTTTGGTATGTACTCTTTTGGATTTTCAGAAAAATCATGCACTTCCTTCTTTTACAGAAGGATCTGAGCTTTCAGCGTCTGAGTTACAGGGAGCAGTTCTACTGCAGAAACGCCTTCATGTAGCAAAGCCAAGCTGAGGTTCATTTATGTCTTGAATTTGCTAACGTGGATGTATTGTAGGTTCCCATATGAAACATTTGCTTTTAGTACACCTGAAAAAATGATCCTGCTGCCCATTAGCCTTGTTATGATTACAGAGAAAGTGGTGCCTTAATTGAAACTGAGGTTAATTTTGTTCCACAACAAATGTGACTTGAGCTGTGATCCTACCTCAGCCGGATGATGGCATCTCCTACAGTACAGACAAGCTTTTGAGTAAAACTACAAGCTACGTCAAGTCTTTTAACAACGTGAAGGCGTCTGTGTTCCAGGCATTTATTTATTTGAAATATTTTTTTTAAATCAGGGAAAAAGTGTTCATTGGCATTGTTGTTGTTGTTGTTCAGTGCATGAAGTGGTAGATGGCTCCAGTTCCCGGTGAAACATAAGCTCACCTTAGCGATAAGAGTATATGGGGATGGCAGGAGGAACAGAAAGCTTTGTCTCTGGCTTACGTTTTTTTTCTAATGCTCCTTTCTTTCATTATGCATTCAGTGTAAAGCTGATGACTTAATTTTGGAGGAAAGGGGGGGCAGAGGGGAAGTCAAAGCAAAAAGTAACTGCAAGAGAGAAATGCCACTAGAGTTTTCTGGTAAAAAAAGATGCAGATCTGACTTGCCTGACACTGAACCAGCCAGCACCTTGCATCTCGTTTGCTCCATCGGCACTTCACACAAGCTGGCAGTTGCTAGATTCCTGCAGAGGGAAGAGATCTCCCCAGCGCTGCAGTGACTGTTTTCTTTGGTAGTTTGTTCTTAACCAGTAGCAATATGCTTGAACTGACATGAAAAGAATATTGCCCAAAATATATTAAAAAGTAGGAAATGCAGGCTGCTTTAACTCACTTAAAGGGATGTTTGCATTTTTTTTTTTTTCTCCCCCCACAGAAATAAGGTAGCTTTGAAGGTATTTTTAACTTGCTCCTTGTTCAGGGAAATGCAGACTAGCATATACATTTAGCAACTCTTGCTGTGAATTGCAGTCTGAAGGAACTTGCCTGTAGGTGGTGGTGCCTGCTCAGTCGGTCTAGTTTCTGACACATCTGTTGTGTGGATGGGTACCTAAACTGTTGTTTCCTTTCTCCAGTACTTGCGAGACCCCAGCATGCCTGTTCTAGAGGCGTTAGACAACTACGCCGAGGCCGACCCCCCCGATTCTGTATCTGTTGTATTTTGTGAAGAAGGAAGCCAAGCCTGCGGCAGTGGTTTGGATGGGCATGCTCCGAAGTAACTTAGGTGGCAGCCCTGGGAGAGTGCCTGGACCAAGTCTTTGCAGAAGCTCCTGCCCGAGCGTGGTGCCGTGTGGCTGCTGGCAGGACAGACGGTGAGCTCTGGACACAATGCGGCCACCGACAAACCCCGAGTGAGAGATTGCTTCCCAAGAACAGCGTGGATGCTGAGCCTTCGTTTAAACAGCTTCTGCTGTGCTGCAGCAGCTACAGTGTTCTGCCAAAGAGTCTTAACCAGTGGAATGTGAAAGGGAAATGAACACTAAATTGCCTTAAGACAGACAGTTGGTTAGAAAATGGTTATATTAACGTCATCGTATTTCTCACCCCCAATTGAAATAAAGCTTTGAGATATAATGGCACTTTATAGTAGGATGCAGTACAGCTTGGAAATTTTCAGAGTGAATAATTGCACCATGAATTACTTCTACAGTGGCTTTTGGTTTGTTGCCTTATTTGTGACGTCTGTGTTAGCACTCAGTGTGTATTATATCCACCCTGGTATGCTTTTCTGAATCATTTTAAGTACACGCAGTCTTCTGTGGCAGCTTCTTTTCTCCCTAGAAAAACGGCAGTCGAAAAAGGAATTGTGTAGTCTTTTACTCTCCTCAGCATGAACCTGTGCAAAGAACTGCTCCAGTAAAGGGCTTCTGGTATCTGCCTCCTAACACACACATGAGAAGCATTAATCATCTGCTCCTGTACCGAGACAGTCCTTCTTCACAATTTTGCTCAGAATTTATGTAACATGTATCAGTGATTATCAGACACTAAAAACTCTCAGATTAGTCCTGCAAATGAAAAGTTGACTGCGGGTTGTGAGTCCCTTAAAGCACAAGACTACGAATTAAGCCTCACATCACAATCCTGTGGGGTCTGGAAGGTGTCCAATAAAGCACCAAGAACAAATGAACCACCTCTGTACTAAAAAGATTGTTTTTATTTGTTTGACTTTTTTCCCCTGAGTTTTATACAAGTTGTTATGAAAAAAAAAGCTTGTTTATTTGCAGATGACTTAACTTAGATCTGTTAAAGAAGCTGGTCAGAGCTGTGAGTTGTCTGAGGTCATGCTGTCCACCCCTTCCAGGCATACACAAGTCTAGCACAAAAAATCAGTTAACATTTTTCCAAAAAGCTTCATGAGGTTGTTTCCTTGTAGAACTAATCTCATCACTTGTGATGATGCAACAGGCCAAGACAATGTAGTTATCAGAGGACTTACTCATACTTCAGGTCTGGTAAGAATTTTCAAGTCAGCTGCAAGCTGCATAACACCTGCTTTTAAGTGCATCCATGTTCTTTTTAGATACTGTGCTGTAAACAAGTGAAGACCCAGAGGCTCACCCTAAATTCAGAATAGAGGATGTAAATAAGGCAGCAGTTAAAACATCTCCTGGGAATATTTAGCAAGACAGCATACGACTTCCTGAATAAGCCCTAAACTAGGCTTCTGTTAAGAGTTGTTACTAAATATTTTTACAGTTACACAAATAGGCCAAAGTTAAAAAAAAACCCAACCTTTCATCAGGAGTAACTCAAGGGTTATCTTCACAACTGCCAGCTGTAGCAGGCCAAGGTATGACCTCAAATGAGCCATCCCTAGCCACCTTGGACCACATTGGAACCACGTGTGGTGTAAAAGCAGACCTCGGGATATTCCAAGTGACATCTGCACGGCTCTTGCACTATGCCCCTTTTTCAGCGTTGAATACCACAAAGACATGCTCAAAGCTGGCTCTTTTGTCCTCCCAGCAGCTGTATGGAGACTCTCAGCATTCCAGTTCTCTAAAACCAGAAGGGATGGTCAAGAAATACCTGCAAGAAAGCAAACGTCTGGTAGAAAATGCAGGTAACCTCAGAAAGCAGCTCTTGCCCTGCTCTTAAGAAAACTTTTTTAACTGGGAACCTGCATTAAAGCAGACTGTAAGAGTGACTTCTTCTGGAGTCAACCACTTAGCTTGTGCTGGTCAAGCATTAGGTGCTAGAAACTGTAAATGGGAGCAGTTGTAGGCTACACTTGTTTCTCCCTTAGTAAAAATGCCAGCAAACCTTCCCAAGCTCTGAAGCAAGAAACTGACAGACCTGAAAACAAACCCCTTGGTTTTACTTACTAGCTGGTGTAAGACTTGCTTAAGGTCAGTAATATTTGAGCTATTGAGTCCTACTGTACAATTACCTCATGAAATTCACTATTTTGAGAACATAAGATAAAGTTTATTGCAGTTTTCTGAAGTGACAACCAAACAGACAGCGTATGTACAAAGCTATGATTGACACCAGTGAATGTATCGTAACTCACTGCAGGATGGCGCAATCAGGATGCAGTTAGTCCAGCCAGTAGCACAATTTCAGCTGCAGTATTTGCTTCATATTCTGTCCACTGGAGAGATTCCCACAAGGGAGCCATTAGGTGACTAACAGTATACGGTAACCACGCACAGAAATTACCGTCTGCAGTTTAAAGCCGTTGGGTCAGCAATCTCGATACACGGAAAGTTCTAAAAGCTTTTAGACACAAGGTAGGTTCAAGTGCTTTAAAAACCACATAGAACTCCTATGGTAAGGAAGTCACCAACAGCCCAACAAATATACAAGATCAGTCCAACACTATAAAACACCATTGTTCTCTCCCTCTGTATAGTCCAGATAGAAGAAACTGGATTTCAATAATGGAAGCATTCCCATAAAGTGCCCATGAAATTTTTAGGAGATAAATACATTTCCGCTGGGACAAACGGCAGTACTAAAACTGGCAATTACTTCAAGGTAAGATTGTGAGCAATAAATACATCTCCTATATCCCCAAATGAAACGCTCGCCTTTTAATAGAAAAGGTAATAGGTAGCAGGATAACCGTTCATTTATCAGCAAAAAGCTTCCCCTGAACAAAATAATGCTAGCATAATTTTAAAGATGTTAGTCTGACTCATTTTTTCTTCATATCCCTTAAGTATGACTGGCACCAGGTTGTTTTTGGTTGTGGGGTTTTTTTATTCTAGTATCGGTAAATACATTAAAACTGATTGGTAACTATTACACAGAACAGCATGAAATCAGTTGTAAGGACTCTGGTGCTACCAGATATCATTTGTGCTATAGCAATCAGAAGTCAAGAACAGTTTGATTCACCATGCAGAACCTGCTTAATGTAGGGCCTTGTTTAAAAATTCATAACCTTTTACAAAAAAATAGCTACTTTATATTTTTCTGGACAGTTATATAAAATTCTTAAAATCAGCTCTTAGCTCAGCATACAACAGAATTTACCCTCATTAAATACAGGCTTAGCTGGGTCGCTTCCGTGCGCTGAATCAGCTTTAGCTCACCTACGCGTAGCAGCGAAGACCCCTTCTGCGGGGCACGGGCTTTACCCTGCTCATTCACTCATGGTTCCCCTGAAGGCTCTGACGCCCATGAAGGTTTGGAAGCTCAAGTCTTAGCAGCTGATGGAAACCCACGTGTTGGAAGAACTAAACCTGAAGATTTCAGAATGAAAGCCAGACATTCATTCCCTTTTTAAGATATATACAGTCATATGTACATATTCACAAATCTGTCCTGTGAAAAGAGGGAGCTCATTACAGAAACTGTAATTTGTCTCAGTTCATACAATTTAGAAAGCAAAACAAGAACAAATAAATGTAAATATATCTACATACATAGTACGACATAGCAACTATGGAATAGACAATGCTATACGCGATCTCTCATCCCCATAACTCTTCTGTTCTTCCAAACTTGTAGATCAGAGTACTAAAGGGAGAAATAAAAAAAAACCACAACCATCAGACCACACATAAGGTGAAGGTAACTGTAATAGTATCCTTACAATCTTATACTATCTACACTGCATATCAACATCCCTCCAGTCACCTTAACTTTTATTCAAGTCTGCATCTACTTTTTGTACTTAGATTTCATTTCCTATGCATTGCTAAAACTATGACATTCAGCTGAAGCAACTGCTTAAATAAAAAAAATAGCCAGTCTCACAGTAACAGCAAAGAAAAAAAATTTTGGAATTTAAGAGATTCTAGGACCGATCCACAGTTACAGAGCAGCAAGTCTCACCCTGGCACCTGGCAATCAGCTGAGCATCGTGCTAGGACACACTCTAAGCAATTTAATTTTTATGAGCAAATCAAAAATAATATTGATCCTGTGGTGGATAAGCAAGATCCATATTGCAATCTGATTTCCAAAATTCCTTTTATAAGTTTGGATGCAATTACTTATTGTCATGAATAAAAAAAAAAACAACCTTGAGGGAACAAAACCAAACATGATTTCCTGATTGCTACTTATACTTTCAATTATTTTTTTTCTTACAGCCAACAAACAGGTGGTAAAGAAGGGCGCAGTCATATTAAATCATAAGAGAATGAAGAGGGAGGGAAATGAGAAATATTGACACTGAGAACAACATTAACAAGTGATGATAAGTAGAACAAGCCAGACACTGGGCGATTCACTAGGGAAGACAACTACTAATACAGCACATTAAACCAAGCAAAAAAAAAACTGGTGGAGTAACAACCAGGGCTGAAGCACAAGTCCTGAAGCAGATGCATGGTTCAGGGGATACAGATGTTGTGGAGCAACACTGACGGAAGAGGATCTGATTCAATCGGAACAAAAGTTTTGGATAAGGACCCTGAGCAGGGCATCGCTGATCGACCCAGGTCTGGTCTAAGGAAAGGAGTCTGTGGCAAGGGGTGGACCTAGTAAATGTTACAGCCTAAAGTGCGTGGCAGGATGAAAAACAAAGACCTTTTTTTCTAAAAATAAAAAGGCTGTGATTTGTCTCATAGCTCATACCTAGAAAACAAATTGTAGATGACAAAACAAATAAATCTAAAATATATCTACATACAGAGTACAATAGAAAGTAAGGAAAGACATTTTCAGAAACAAAAAGCAGCTTCAGAAATAAGTTCATCGAACTCCTGAAGTAAGACTGAAGATCTCGGGCACGGTGAAACTGTTCTCAAAGTCTGCCTTC